TGCTATGATGACATTATTGCCAGGGGATTGTGAAATGTGTATTTTTTGATACATTCCTGAATCTAAGAAATGCTCTCCCCAATACCTTGGTGCTGTTTGCAGAGGAGGGCTGGGTTCACTGCTGAGCTCTTCTGGAAATCCATCCAGCTGCATAGCAAGGAGATCTCCAGCTGCCTGTTCCTGAAAATGTGTCTTTAATTTGCTTCAGAGGTGTGAGCTGGTTTTGCTGAAATTCACAGCTGCCAGTGAACTTTGAAAACTATGAGGAGTTTTGTCTCTCTTCTCCCTCTGACATCCTTCACTGCAGTACATGATTGCAGTCATTCCCTTTCCCTCACTTCTCTCGTGTGGGTTTCTCCACTGTTGAAGCAGTGCATTGTGTTTTTCAAGGCAGCATCACAAAATTGATGGGATGCTGCTGGTTTGGGCCTTCTTGCAGCAAGGACAGACAGACCTGTCCTTGTAAAGGGCTGAGAAAATAAGGCTTGGCTGGGACACACATTTTGCTTGGTGAGAGGAACTGTGTTCTGAAAGCTCCAAGGGGTCTGGGTGTGGATGAGGGGGCAGTTAGTTATTCTGCAGAAGTTGTTGGAAGAAAATCAAAGGTAGCTTTACCCTGCTTGTTAAAGCTGTATGTGGATGTGAATATATCTAAGAGTGTATATATATATATGTAAAAATGATGGTTTTGGTTGGAAAGGTTTGGATGACTTTAAAGATCATCTCACTCTGTCCCTCTGCCATGGGCAGGGACACCTTCCACTAGACCAGGTCTCTCCAGGTATGGGGTAACCACAGCTTCTCTGGGCTACCTGTGCCAGGGTCTCACCACCCTCAATAAGTGAAGAATTTCTATCTAATTTCCTCTCTTTCAGTTTGAACCTGTTGTTCCTTGTCCTATCACTCCAGTTCTTGATGGAGAGTATCTGGCTTCCCTGTAGGCCCCTTCAGGTCCTGGAAGGTGCTATGATGTTTCCACACAACCTTCTCATCTCCAGCCTGAACAGCCCCAATGTTCTCAGCCTGCCAACTCCACATGCACCTGTGTGGCTTTCTGAACTTCACAACTTGTATCTAATCCTTTGGAATCCAAACACACTGCCCAGGCTTGCTGGCACTGTAGCTGTGCCTGCTGGCAGGCTGTGCCAGCAGGGCTTACCCAAACCTCCAGAGTTTGGTGCCATTGGCTCCCTCACACACCGGCATGGGACACGTCCTGCTTAGCAGGATTGGATTTTTCCAGTCCTGATACTATCAAATTCTTGTTGTGTTTCACAGTACGAGGGGTATGTGTTAAATCTATTTTGAAAGCATTCTAAAGGGATGAGCACAGACTCTTTTTAGCTCAGAAATGTTTGTGCAGTATTAGGAGAAAAACCAAGTAATGTTTTTCTTCCCTTGTTTTTAAGGAAACATGATATGTGAGGGGTGGAACAATGCTTTGTTTCAGGAAATGTTATCCGTTTCCATTGTAGGGCTAGATGGATTCTGTTTTTAAATATGGCATTTTGAAAAGAACAAACTCTATGATGTTATAAAGACATGGAAAATGGATTCTTCATTAGGGGTGGAGAAAGTGATTATCACTGTGTGCTTTCTCTGATAATATCTGATAGTCCCCTTCTCTCCTGCTATATTCAGCTTGTTTAGTTGTCAGGCGTTGTCAGACTAAATTGCTAAAAATAACAAATAAGGGGGAGGCTCTGCTGGGCAGCTCCGTCTGCTGTGTGCCACTGAATTTAGCTCCTTCGGGAAAAGGGCAAAAGCAACCTGCAGCTTTCTGGGGGAATTGGATTTTGGTTTTAAACTCTGACCACAAGATAGCTGCGTGCTTGTTTCCCAGGCAGTTCTTTCACATGCCTGTGGGAGACTGAAAGTTTACTGCTGCTGAGATAAAGGGTTGGTTGGTTGGTTTTGCCTAGAGTAGAAAATATAGTCAAGAAAGCTGTACCTAAAGGCTTGATTTCTAATTCAGAAATCCTTCATGCGAGCCCTAAAACACCGTGTCCAATTTCCCTATCCCATGCAGAAAACATCTTTGCTCTCATTCCTGGTGGAGGAAGGAACACTGTGCTCTCAAACAGTGCTGTGCTCCGTGTTTAAAGCCTCAGGTGATGTTTGCAAAGCTGGTGAAGTTACACAGTGACTGCACTGAAATGCCTGAAGGTGACCGCCGACTTCTTCCCCGGTATTGCCTGAGCACAGTCCTGCTTGTACTGTGGCTTCCATTTCTTTAATCTTCTTTTCCTGGGAGCTTTAAAATGGCTTTGCTGCAGCCCTGAGGCGGAGTGGCGGAGCCCCCCCTGTGATGAGTTGGCTCTGACGGTTGCCACAGCAGTGTTTTCTTCCCCTGTGGGAACAAAGATTTTGGCAGGTGAGGTGTGGCTGGGGAGAAGCGCTGGAGCCTGGGGCAGGTATGGCTGGGATGGACCTGCTCGGTGTGGTCCCAGCCTCCAACGTGCTCCAACTCTCCTTCATTTTTTACTGCAGCCCTCAGCATGGAGGCCAGTTCTGTGGGTGGCTTTAACGATGTGAAAACAAGTCTCTTGAGATTTGTGGTGCTCTTTGCAGACCACGAGGCGCTCACCAGAAGGTAGCAATTGTTAGGCTGTTCCCAAGTTAGACCAATTTCTTGCAGGGATTTGCAGCACAGAAGTTCTCATCGCATGGTTTGCTCGGGGTAGGCCAGTGCCCAGGAATGTGTGGTGGGCTTTTTAACTAAACAGGGGGAAATAAGGAATGCTCCTGTTTGCTTTGGAGAGGAGAAGCCTCAAGAATAACTCTCTGTGCATTAGCCTGGAGCAGATTCTACTTTGGATGAGGGTGCTGTTCCCTCATTCCATTGCTGGCATGTGAGCACGTACTGGGAGCGGGATTTGAAACACGTTGTCACTGAAGTTGCCCCTTGTTTCCCTGTGTGTACATAGGCAAGGTCAGTCACTCTGCTTGCTGTAGAGGGAGGCAGGACACTTAAGGTGGGGACAGGTGGAGTATGGAAATGAGTTTACCATGTAGGATTAGTATTTGGGCTTGCATGGACATTTTAGGGGGAAGCTCTGGGATCTCTACAAATGATGGATGTTAGGGTGAAGATGAGCTGCAGAGCCCCTCGGTGAGGACCAGGCCAGGCCAAACGCAGCATCTTGCATGGCTTTGGGTGTCAGAGGCAGCTGTGGGTGTCTGGGCAGGTCCTTCTGGACACAGACATTTGGACTTGGTGACGTTCCTGGGAAATGTGTTTCATCTTGACTCTCTCGGCTGCCGTCATCCCATGTCTGAGTCTGTGCCCTCACTGAGGGTTGCTCCTGTGTTTCAGGCTGCAAAGCTGTGGGCTTAGCTTGCTTTTTGAGGACATGGGTGGTCTAGCTGCCTGCCTGTCAGCTGTGGAGCGTCCACAGGCACTCCCATGGGAGAGCAGAGTGCAGCCTGCATGGGCAGAGCTGTTACCAGTGCTCTGCCCTCCATGAGAGCCTTGTTTTGAAGAAGGGAGTATCCAAAGCTCATTTTTTTCCCTATAGGTCTGGCTGTCTTATAGGGAGGAGAATCTATGTTCTCATTCCTGATTTTCAAAATGAAAGATACTCTAAGCAATGAGAAAAATAGGCTTCAAAATGACAAAACATTGAGGAGGTTGAGGGTGTAATGGACACAGAGCTAACACTACTAGCACAAAATCCTGCTTTGTGGAGAGGCCCTCTGACACTGGACTGGGGCCACACAATTTATGGTAAATACTGGAGGAATTGGGGCATTGCTAATGCTGCTCTAATTCTTTCTGTTCCCTAAACTGACTCTGCTGATGGTTACATGAACAACAGGTCTTCACAGATGTGAGGAATCATTCACTTCACTTGCTTTTTAATTTTAAAGCCTCAAGGTCTGTCTTGTTTGTCAAAAATGAGGGTAGCAAAAGGATTGTATTCTTACAGCTGAATTTCATGGGTGTTTCTCTGTTGTGTGACTGTCACCTTTCATTGCATACAAATGGAAATCAGCTGTGTGCAGCCAGCACCTGGCAGATTTTAAAGACAGCAATGCTCCTCAGTATCTGCAGGGAAGGAGGTGGATCTGTTTAAAAGCTGGCTCTTAGTCCTGTGTTAAATTTGTTAGATAAAGATCAAATAACAGTATGTTCTGCTTTGAAAATTGTGTAAGAAGCTTGTCATGTGTTAAATAGTGCACAAGTCACTAGTTGCAAAACATGATGTTGGAATCTTAAAGGCTCAGGGAAAAGAAATTCTCATATTTCAAAGGGGAAAGGGGATTCCCAGCTCTCTGGACCGGTCATCTGCCACCTTAGGCCTGGGATGGCTTATAAAAACTAATGTCTCACCACATTTTTATGAAGAATGGTTGTGGATAACGCTGATTTGAGTGCAATGATGTGTATTTATATCATCACAAATGTGTGGGTATGCAATGGCAAGGCTGGATCTCTCATTTGGAGCAATCATTCACTGCAAAAGGTTTTCAAACTCCCAGATTTTTGCGAGCAGTTGTTTAATTAGTAATTCTTTGTTAGTCTTCCCTGTACTGCAGACTGCAAAGTAAGCACACAAACCAGCTGAGAGGGCAAAGGCTTTATGAAGGAAGAACTGGAATTTGATGACTTTGTTTTCACTCTTCCTACCTTTATTTTTGGGTGGATAATTGTAGATTTTAAAAGCAAGAGGATAATTAATGTGGGGGTTGTTTGCTTCCTCTTAAGTCCTTTAGTTATAGACATGGTTTCAAAATAAAGGCTTCTCAGAACTTGTTTTACAGTTTTTTGGGGTGGGGGGGATTACTCTTGATTTAAAAAACCCCAACAACCTAACAGAGAGAACTTTTCAAGCAGCTCCTGCTAGTCCACTCACATTCCTTTGTAATTCAGAGGAAAGTGAAACACATTATGCATTAATAAAAACCCACTTCTGTTGCTGTGTTGAAAGGGTTTTGTCGATCCAGGAACCTACATTTAGTCATCTGAGCCTCAAGACATCGCTTGTTTCCTCTGATTAGCATTAAGCTGCCTTTATTGTTACACTGAAATAATTTTAACACCAAGTTGGTTGATAAGTCTTTCATTTTAGAGCAGGGTCTGATTCATTGTCAAAGCTCTCCTTTGTGCTTATGGCCACAGAAGGATCCAAAGCAATGAGCTGAGCTGGATGCGGGTCCCTCTCCAAATTCCTCCTTGCATGAGTAATAATTAGTCACAAACGCAGCACTGCTGTCCTTGCCTTAGTCACCAGGCCCCTGCAGTGCCTCCTGGCTGCCTTTGTGCCAAGCAGCTCTGGGGAGGGGGATTATCTGTGCCCGATAAACCTCCATCCTGCTTCCATCTCCTCCTTCATCTCGCCTGGGGAGAACAGGAAACGATTATTTGGAAAGCGTGCTCCTGCCTGTTGGAGCCCTGACCCAGCCCTGAGTCAGCTGTACAAAGCCACACCTTGCTCCCAGGTATGCAGGGCAGCCCTCAGCGTCATGCTTCCTGCTGTCCCCACTGCTGGGTCACCCCCTGCTGCGTCCCTGATGCCTTGGTGGTGGGCATGTGGCTGCTCTGAGTTCAGAGCTGTCTGATCTGGGGGGAGGATGCTGCCTAGCTGGGACCTGACACCATCTTTTTGTTGCTGATTTGTCTTTGAAATGTATGGAAATTGTTTTTCTTTTCAAGTGGCCTTGCTTGGCCAGGACTGCGAGAGCTGGAAGGTGTGGTGTGGTTTTGCAAAAGTCCTACTGCCAGGAGGGATCCCGATGAGCCACACCAGCTCTGCAGGACCACAGAAACTGAGGCACTGGGGTAGGGAACTTACCACGTTTTGCAAGAGACAGTTTGGTGAGGGATGTTTCCGCCGAAACAGAACGTGGGGGTTTTCAGCATCTGTGTGAGTTTCCCCTCCCCAAGTTCTCTGTGTGACCTGACTCTGCTGTCGTAACCTGGTTAGGGCGCAGTATCTGACCTGGAGCAAAGTACTCCTGGAAACTGCTCTAAATGGGGAATTGTGCCAAGAAGGGGTGTCCCTAAAGGAATCCTTTGGGTTGATAATACATTTCTGCTGCCACCTACTGAAAGGTTCTCATCCACTTGCTTTTGTAGTAGTTCACATCAGGCAAGGGTGCAGGAGTTCACTGGAATAATCCATCATTTCCCACTCACCAAGAGCAGCTGTCTCCATCTCTGCTGGCAGCGCTGTGCTGTGGCTCAGACAGTGAAGTGCTGCTGCCACGAGGCTGGGGTTGGGCAGAAGGGCTGGCAGGCAGCCTGGCTTCCTGCCCCTTACCTTGCCCCTTCTTCTCTTGAAGGCACCAAGAATGGAAGTTAATGGGGTTTTTCCAGCTTAGCTTTTCCAGAGTATGTTCCTTGAGGAGCTTCAGGGATGATGGGGAAAGCCCAGCTGTTTGTGCTGTGGTAGGCTCAGTACACAATGATGGATTTGCACCAGCAGTTCTTTAGGCAGGTGCTTTTAAGGATTCTCTTGTGTTGGCAAATGTAGTTATATGTTTTCTCTTCTGCACTCTAACCCAGATAGTTCAGTGGGTCCCCGTTACCTTGTGGAAGGAAGAGATGAGGAAAAACACCAGGGTCTGAATCATCACTTCTCCTCTTAGGTATATGGCATCACGCTTCTGTCAGCAGCTGTCGTCAGAAACCAGCTGGGCTCCCTTCCTATTCCAGGTCATTCATTCTTGAGCAAACTCTGGGCAACTTCCTGAGGCAGTAACTGCTTGGAAAGTCTTGAAGTGTATCTAAATATTTGGTGGTTGCTGTAGAGTAGTAATTCCCAGTGTGTACATGTGCCACAGTGTTGAACTGGGTGAGGACCAGTGCTGGGTGGACCCATCAGGGCGTAGGGCTGCCTGCAGACCTACCCCACCCCCTTGCTGGTGCCCACTGTTTCGGCTTCTCCTGGAGCAGGAGCAGCAGAGTGCTGTTCAGCAGGTTCACCTCCTTCCTGTTCAGGGGTTCCAAGTGAAATCCCATTAAACAGAGCACGTGTCTTCAGCACATCTTCTTCCATGAGCTTAGTCTGACCAAAATTTTTGCCTTCCACAGGGTGTGTGTGCCAGGGTTTGGAGTGCTGCTCTCCAGAGGGAGTTTGGGCACTGCCAACCCCTGAACAGCAGTGGTGGCCTCAAGAATGAGGGCAGCTTGGGCTGCTGCTGCCTGGCCCCCAGTGCACGGGCAGCACAGTTTGCCATCCCCCAGGGAAATTCCTTCTCCAATCAACCAACTCTAGCTCAGGATCTGCTGATCACTTTCCCACAGAGCCCTCAGGGAATGCCAGAAATGGTTTGAGTTAATTTTAGGGGATACAGAAGCTCTTGGCTAGCCACAGGTTTGCTGAGATGTCACAAGATGAGCTGTCTCAGGGCTCCTGTTTGAGGCACTGCATCATGCCTGAAGACTGCAGCATTCCTCAACAGAAACCTTCTGAGTGTGAGAGTGGGATGCCAGAATCTGGTGGCTGGTAGCCAAACATGCTGAGAGCCATGGGAAAGGAGATATATTCTCTGGGAAGGGACCTGCCAGCTTGTTTTGTCCTCACAAGTTGGGTGTAAAACAAGTTCACAGAAAAACACTTTAGAAAACAAAAATGGGGCAAAAAAAGAACAGGCTGAAATGAATAGGCATGTTCCAATACTAGATTGTAAAATTTCCATGGAAACATTTTTGTTTGGGCTTAAGCAAATCTGTGTTTGCAGGTCAGAGGTTGAAGCTTTCTTTCATTTGCAGAGGTGACGTGAGAGGAGTGGAATTTGAAGAGCAAAAGTTGGTGTTGAATGATAAACCATGACTTGACACAGGAAACTCACCTGTGCGGGGGAGGGTATGGCAGCATGGAGGGGCAGGGCTGCTGTGTCTGTTCCCTCTGGGAGCACAGGGCTCTTTGGGCTCTTGGAATGGGTGAGAATGCTGTGCCCTGTCCCACCGAGCCACAGCTCCAGCCAAGGCCCTGCCACACGCAGGGCTGGTGGCGGCCAAGCCGCTCTCCCTGAAGGCAGAGGAGTCTGAATCACAGTGCTGGGGGGAAGACAGTGCTTTGATCATCAAAAGCCCATCCAAGAAAAGCTGATTAATAGTTTTCTCTTGCTGTGGAATCTGTGGATGCTGGCTCTTTAATCTGCCAGGAATGCCGGGTCCGGGTGCGTCATCTTCAGGAGCATCGGCCTCTCCAGCAGCGTGATGCAATGGGAGCGGAGGTGGGAGCTGCTGGAGCAGGAGGTGACTTCCCACCGTGTCAAAAGGCCACAGGCCACTTCTGTTAACCACAGCTCCTTTTCTTCTTCGGGGTGTGAGCTGTAATTGTATTTGCATTCGATCTAGTCTTTCCGCAGCTGCTGCCAAAAGCAAACAGCACAGAGCTGGTCAGGGTGCAGGGAGTGAAGGGCAGGGGAGAGCCCAGCAGTGGGGTGGTGGCAGGGCGAGTCCTCTGATGTTGTTTGGCTGCAGCCACCCGTGCCAGGGCACAGGCTGGCCACGCCAGCACACCTTGGTCAGGGGCGTGCACAGCCAGCACTGCTGGCTCGTGATGCTGTGCACAGCCCCAGGCTGGGGCCAGCCGAGCTGGTGCTTCAGGAGTCTGCACTTCCTACACCAGCAAACACAGAGGCAGCCAGGGCTGATGGAGCCCCAAAAGCCATTGTCTGCAGCCCCCACAGGTGTCTGGGAATGTGTTGGCAGTGGGCATTGCATCCCACCAGGCCCATTGCATATCAGGGCCCTGCCTGCCCTTCTCCTCCTCGCAGGCAGGGCTGGGGCTGATGGTACCTTCCCTGCCAGGGCCTGCAGCTCTGTCTGTGGAGCTGTCAGCTGGACAGCCACCATTCCTCCTGGGAAGGGTTCATGGGAGATGGATGTGCATTGCCTGTTGGATGTTGTGTGAGTGGTCAGTCCCATTTTTGCGTGCACCTCTTGCTGTGGGAGATGGTGTTTTTAGTCCATGTAGCTGCACTGAACCACACACAAATGAACCCTTTGTCCTGCACACCTTTTTTAGGAAGCCTTGGAGTGGAGAAGGCTCCTGAGAGCTGGCAGAGGAGAATATTGATCAGATTAGTGATATATCTATACTCAGGGGTAGGAAAGGTGCAAAGTCCAGTTTCTGAGCCCCTAGGATGTGCTGGGAGGCCCAGTTGGTGGGATTGGCTCTGCTGCTCAAGGAAGAATCTGCTTGCCCTCCATCCTGGTGCCACACAGCTATTAGCATGGCAGTTCTGTTTCCAAAAAGCAGATTTAGGTGAGAACACTTCCTTTGGGGCTAGTTTTGAGACAGATCATCAGGGTTGTGGTTTGTCGTGTTACCAAGTGCTGCAGCCCTTCCTGCCTGGGGAAGGAACTGTTGTTGGGAGTGGTATTAACTTAAAGGAATTAGGAAACCAGGCTGGGAGGCACTGCCTGCACTGGCTTTTGGGGGCATGCTCTGTGGGTTTGCACCCTCTCAGGGCTCTCAGGAGGCCCAGACCTCACTGGGCTGTGGCAGCGGCCGTGTGCTGGTCTTGTGTCCCAGTGCAGGTGGCAGAGCCCTTTCTGTGTGGGGCAGAAGGGGGATCAGGGGGTTGTCACCACAGAGGAGAGAGTGGATGAGAACTGGTGGGTGGCCTGGGGCAGGAAGAAATGAGGATATAAGAGCATGTCCTGGGCTGGATCAGGTCAGCTGGCTCAGTTTTGGAGTGTATGCTGTCCACCTGGAAACCTGTAGCTGCAAATCCTGCCACGTTCCCACACGTCCTCTCCCATGCAGCTTCCAGCTCCCCTTCCTTGCTGTGTGGGGGAGAAGATTCTCCAGTGCTGACAGACCTGCAGCCCTGGCTCATCCCTCCCTGTGAGTGAGCTGTGCTGGGTCATGGGAACGCACTGGCCTTTCTCTGGGAGCGGGGGGGCTGCCAGGGCCTGGCACTGCTGGTCAGAGGCTGTTCCTCTGAAACAAGTTTCAGTAACACCCCACAAGAGTTTTGTAAAATAATTCTCTAGCAAGTGGTTGTGTGAGTTGTGAACCAGGAAGAGGAACCGGCCCCTTGCTGCAGTTGGAGCCCTTGGCTGACACACCAGCTGCTTCCTGTTGTGCCCTCCGGGTGTCCTTGTCACTGCCTTGCCACACTCCTGGTGAGACTTCAGGGGGACAGCAGCACACCAGGGTCACTGCCCAGCCTCCTGTGGAGCCTGGCCCTGCTTGGCAGCCGGAAACTGGGGCTTTTCTGGGAGCTCAGTGTCATGTGGCAACTTCCCCCTGCTGCTTTCTCAAAGCCAGTCTCCTTTCTCTGCTCTTCCCTGGAGCTCTGTGGCTCAGGCAGTGGCATCTGGGGCCAGTTTGGGCACCCACAGGAGCTGGGGGAGCGTGGGGGCAGTTTAGGGCATGGGTGTGATGAGTGAGTAGGAGCTCTGGGTCAGCAGCCTGCAGGTCATGCAGCCACCAAAGCCAGCGGTGCAGGGCCAGTGTGCTGCCACGTCCCCTTGGGCTGCTGCCATGTCCCCTTGGGCTGCTGCCATGTCCCCTTGGGCTCCTGACTGGTGAGCACTGGAGCTACAGCTGTAGAAGAGAAACCAGAGGCTTCAGAGAGCAGCAGCCACCTTTGGTTTCACAAGGGACCAAACCAGCAGTGCAGTTTTGACATCGCCCTGGGAATTCCCACAGGCTGCACTTGGCATGGCACAGGTAGCAGAGGATGATCTCCTGGAGCAGCAAACACATTTTCCCAGGGAAATGCATCAGCTGATGCACAGGTGAAGCCCAGCAGCCACAGGCTGGCCCAAACCAGGGCTCAGAGGACATAGGGTTAACTTGGGCTGTGAGTGCAAATGAAAGCTGTGAGCTGGAAGCTGGAGGTGGGGTTGGGGATGCGGGGTGGTGTTCAGGGAACAGATACCACCAGCCTGGCAGGTCTGGCTGGACCGGAACAGCCTCCAGCATGACTTCAGAGCTGTGCTGCCGTGAGTGGGCAGAGCGTGTGTCAGCCTCTCGCTCGGCGCTGCTCTCTGGGAGAGACGGAGTTTCCTGTCTAGACCCCGGTAATCGCGGTGAGGAGGGGTTTGCAGCAGCCTCCTGCCCCTTCTCCGGTGATGACCGAAGCAGAAGCCGGGCTGCCGTTCCCCCTTCCTGGGGAACAAACACCTCGCTCCTGCCACGTGGCTCGGAAAATGTGGCGCCCGTCTGCTCCTCGCCTGCCTGTGATCCGGGCTGTGGGCTGGGGTGGGAGCCAGCCCCAGCTCCTTGTCTTGATGCTCGAAGGATGTTCCTGGAGCCCAGAGATGGGACTCCCTGGAAACTGCTTCTGGGAGGGAGTAAAAGCACTGGGACCAGCCCAGATTCTTGTGCCTCAGAAGTTAGGTGATAAAGGACAGTGATTGAGGTATAGAAAGATTCCCAGAATCCTGCCCTACTTGGGACTGCAGGTGCTGCCCAAGTGCAGAAATGGCCTTAAACCCTTTTGCCACGGGGAGGGCAGAGCATGTCACTGTGCAGGGGTGGGCAGTGTGGGTCCACCTGTGGGCCATGTGGGTGCTTCTCTGCTACGTCAGGGTCCCTTGTCCTCGTGGAAGTGGGACCCACATGGACACCAGCAAGGCTTCCTGATGGGATGTCTGAAATTCTGCTGCGCTCTCCCAGTCCTGCTGGACAGCGTGTTTGTGGAGTGCTGCTCTCTGGAGCTGTCTCCTCCTGCCTGGTGGGAGCAGGAGGCAGGGGAGAGGACAGGAGGGCAGGACCACTTAATGCACTCATTTAATGGTGTAAAGAAATAGCTTTAGTAAAAAATTACCCGCTAGAAGTCAGCTGTGCTCTCTCTGCTGCCACTCTCCTCTGGTCAGCAGAGCGGGTGAAGCTTTGAGCCACAAGGGTTCTTTGGGTCTGTGTCCTCTTGCTGCCCTCAGACTCGGTTCCCTATGTGTGAAATCCCTCGCTGTCTGTGGGGACAGCGTGGGGACAGCGTGGCGGTGACAGAGTCCTGTTCGTGTGTCACTGAGTCACTGGCAGTGGGAACCTGTGGCTGCTCTTCTCCCTGTGGTTTCCTCAAAAGCAGTTCCTGTAAGTGAAAGAGACCCCACGTGCCTGGGGACCACAGAGAGGGACAAGGAACCCTGGGCCATCACCCTGGCCCTGGCTGGCACAAGCAGCCTTTGGATTTAAATCCAAACCCTTCAGCCTTTGGAAGCAGGGCTGTTCCAGCTGAGTGTGCAGCTGTGCCACAGCAGGGGCACGCAGGGGCAGTGGTGGCAGCAGGTCTGCGCCACGGGCTGATGGATTTTCAGCATTACAAGTCCCACGGGCTCACAGGTCAGGGCGAGGCTCTCAGGGCAGCAGAGCAGTTCTTGCCCTTCACCTGTCCTTGCTTTGGGTGGGCACTGCTGCACTGGGCTTCTGGCACTGGCCACTGGCACAGCCTCTGGCAGGATGCTTTGGACTCCTGGAATTTAATGCCAATCCTGCCAGTGCTTATTGGCAGCTGGCACGGCCCAGGGCAGGGCTTTACATGGCAGCACGGGAGCACAGCAATGCCGGAGGAGACTGTTGTGTCTGTTGTTTGGAAACCCAGAGAAAATAGTCAAAAGAGCCAAGTGCTGATTTTTCCAGCCACAGAGGAGCACCCAGACTAGCAGGAAAAAATGCTGCACACTGAATTCCTATCTTGGGATGCACGGCTTGGGGCTGCTTCCCTGCCAAGCCCAGCCTAATTACAGATGATTAAAGAAACACGTATTTGGTGATGATGCCAGGGATTTGCTGATAGAAAGGAGGATATAGGGTTAGAAAATGGCCCATCTGGGAAAAGAACCTTTTGTGCCCAAGGAGAGGGTTTTGCTGTGTCTCCATAAGAAGGCCTTGGCATGGAAGTCCCTCTCTAGGCTCCAAGAGTTACAGGATCTGATTTGATTTCCTTCCTTGCTGAAGTTCACGGTTCCTACTTTTTGCAGTGCCACTGTTGCAACAGCTCTGGCAGCTCTGAAACGGTTTTGGGGGGGAACAAAATTGAATCTGTGCAGACATTGCCCTGCCCCTGTGCCACTGGGAATAAACTGCTGTCCCCACATAGGACGTGCAGGGTGGTGGTGCCCCAGCCAGCATCCACAGCTCTGCCTGGACCCTGGTACCCAGGTTTGTGCTGGCAGGGCTGGGGGGGATCCTGACTTACCTCTGGTTTCTGCCTTGCAGCAGAAGAAGTCGTACCTGGAGCGGAGCGTGAAGGAAGCAGAAGACAATATCCGGGAGATGCTGATGGCCCGCAGGGCACAGTAGTGACACCCCTGGCTGATCCCCACTGCCTGACCCCCCACCCCACCTCAATAAAACACAGCTCGTGTCTCTGGCTGCTCTCCCTGCATGGCTGTGATGGGGAAATGGGGTGGTGGCAGGAGTTGGGGTGGGGGGCCTGCAGGGCACCGCTGCTGTACCCTCATCGTGTGGAAATCCACTGCCTGGTCTGGGCACTGGGGAAGGTCCTGCTGGGGATGGTGGTGGGGGAAGAGGGAGGTGGGCAGGGCTGGCACAGGCACGGACACAACCATGGACAGGGACACAGACATGGACACAGGCACAGACACGGGCATGGGAATTGGCTCAGGCCCTGCCAGCCTGTGCCAGGAGGTCATTCCCACTGCTTCAACTCATTCTTGTTGCCCTGGGCCATTTCCTCTCTCCTGGGCCTTTCCCTCTGTCCCGCTCTGTTCCCTCTGTCTTGGTCCATTCCCTCATTCCCGGTCCATTCCCTCATTCCCGGTCCATTCCCTCTGTCCCGGTCCATTCCTGCTGTCCCGCTCCGTTTCCATTGTCCCGCTCCGTTCCCACATTCCCGCTCCATTCCCCCTGTCCCGCTCCATTCCCCCATTCCCGCTCCGTTCCCCCATTCCCGCTCCATTCCCGCTCCGTTCCCGCTCCATTCCCCCATTCCTGCTCCATTCCCTCATTCCCGCTCCGTTCCTCCATTCCCGCTCCGTTCCCTCATTCCCGGTCCATTCCCTCATTCCCGCTCCGTTCCCGCGGTCCCGGCCGGGCCGGCGCTGCGCGGTCCGACACCGCCGCCGTGTGGCCGCTGTGGGCAGCGCACGGGCCCAGCCCCGCCGCTCTTCCAGAGGCTCCGGTATCCCGGAGTTTCCCGGTCCCGCTGCCGCCCCGCCGCTCTTCCAGAGGCTCCGGTATCCCGGAGTTTCCCGGTCCCGTTGCCGCCCCGCTGTCCCTCCTTAGGCGCACGGGCGCTCTCTCGCTCTGGGCCGGCCCTTGGCCGCCCCACCTTCCCCCACCACGGAGGGTGGCCCAGGGACTCCACTCCTGATTGCTGACAGGAGGTGACAGGGAAGGTGGCAGCGCTCATTGCCGGGGCAGGGACCTCTGGGAACCAGGGCCAGACTGAGCTCACGGCTGCAGAAGGACTGGGGACAGGGAATTGCAAGGGACTCTCATCAGCCCCAAACACACGAGCCTGCCCAAGAGCAGAGCCCCAGACTGCACTGCTGGGCCCAGAGTGTGCTGCACGAGCCCCCGGGCTGCACGACCAAGGGACAGCGAGTGCCATGTCCTTGGCAAACAGGGCGAGGTCCCTGGGTGCTCTCCAGGCAGAGCTGGTGTGTGTCAGGACACCAGGCGGGTTTTGCTCCAAGGTTTGACACACCCCCATGGAACCAGCAGCAGGTTTTCCCCACTTTTCTGCAGACAAAAGCTTTGTATTCCTTTTCTGGCGAGGCGTGCCATGGAACAGCTTCAGCTAGATTAATCATGCTAGCACTAGATTAATCCATGGCTTTTCTCTTCTTACCCATTAATTTACCTCCTGCAAGCCTCTGCTCTGCAGCGTGGGATGATGGATCACAGCCTGGGACCAGGAGCTGCTGGGGCACACGCAGCAGCCCAGCCTGTGCTTCTCCCAGCTCTGCTGTCCCAGGAGCTGCTGGAGAGGGCCTTGGTTCCAGAAGGGAAAAACATAAGGATAAAAACCCAACTGTGCTGCCCTGTGTGCAATGAGGGGCTTGGAGATGCCTGAGAAGTCCCACCTACAGAGGCCAAAGACAGCACCAGAGGGGATGCCCACCCTGCAGACAGATTCACTGAAACAGCCGGGACCTAGTGAAGAAAAATCAACTGTTGGCTTTAATTATTGCGTATGTCTTCGTCTCTAGGGCTAGGAAAATCTCAACTGGTAAATATACATTTCATCAGAATGCCCTTGGCTGAAATACACCATTAGCACATTCTTCAAAGTTACAACAAAAGTCTTAGAAATGTTAAAAAGGGATTTTTTTTCCTTTACTAAAATAAAGGAGTGCACCCCCCACCCCGACAAGGCGCTAGGACGGACAGACGGGAACTCTTGGCTGTGCAAAGCAGAGCGTTGATTACAGTAACAGAAAGAAGTCGGGACAGGAGTGGGGAGCCTGCATAGCGCTCGGCGAGCGGCGGGGCGGCAGCGGCGTCAGGTCAGCATGTCCCAGAGGCAGCAGCAGCAGAGCGCGGTCCAGCACGCCGTCAGACAGGCGCTCTCGCCCGTGTCGTCCCTCCGCCGCTCCTCCACGACGTACACTGCGGGCAGAGAGCGGCTGTGAGCACCGAGCACAGTCACGGCACAGGGTGGCACAAGAACCAGGGCTGGCCCGGCCCCCGGGGCAGCTCTGCAGCCTGTCCGTCCACACTGGCACTGCTCCAGCCACACACAGAACCGCCTCCTTCCCTGGGATGACAGGGCAGGGACCAGTCCTTGTTCCAGCTCTGTGCCCCTCCTGCTCTGTCAGCTCAGCACCCGAGGCACGGGCTAGGAGGTGGCAGTGCAGTGACACCCCACTGGCCAAGGGGCAGGTGCCCAAAGGCTCCAGGTACCGCCCCACAAACAGAAACCATCTCTGCAGAGGCTCCTGGCAGTCTGCTGGGATTTACTGCACACTGAGCACACAGGAGGGAGCCCCAGCTTTGGGTGGAGGGTCTCCTACCTGAGGCCAGTGTGCTGCTCAGTCTTTGTGCCAGCCCCTGAAGCCCATTAGGACAGGGGAACAGTTTATCTTTGATTCCTGCTCTCTGAGCCCGGGCTGCCCCACCTGGAACTGCATCAGTCTGAGGGCAGGCAAGTGACTGTCCTTCCTGACAGCTTTTTTGGCTCTGATTGCTGTGGTCTGTGTGGGAAACGTGCCCTCATACAGGAGTCCAAGCCAGGCAGGCATAAGCCTGGGCAGGACACAGCTGATGGCACCGGCCTGGCTCTCCCATGAGCTTGCTTTGTGCCCAGGAAACCCCTCCCCAGTCACTATTCAGCTCTGCAGAGCGATGGGCAGAGGATGATGTGCTCCAGCTCACATGATGCTACAAACCTGACACCAAGTGAGGCAGAGAGGGGGAATCCAATACCCCTCAAATGTCTGTGCTTGGGGACAGCCTGTGCCCGAGCCTCAGGCAGATTCCCTCTCATCAAGGGAATAAAGGAGAAGAGGTATCCTCAGCCCAGGCACAGCCCAGCGCCAGGGAGCCCCTGCACGGCACCAGCACAGCACTGCTGTCCCCCTTCCCTCTGACCACTCAGCCACAGTGCCTGCAGCCCTTGCTCGAGGGATGTCAGGATGGAATGTCTCTCCCTTCAGCCCCAGAGGAGGGGCAGCGCTGTGACAAGCTGTGCTGGAGCAGGAGCAGTGCCACACACTCTCCTCCCTCAGGAGCTGCTGTCCCTGCCCACCCCTGCAAAGCCCTGGCTGGCACCTCCCAGCAGGAGCAGAGCAGGACCCGATGGAAACCTGGCTCCCTGTGCTGCTGCCAGGGGGAGGCTGCACGACCTCCTGTGCCCAGGGCCAGCCCCTGCCACAACAAAAGGAGTGCAGAACAAGTCCACGACTTGTGAGCCTGGCTGCCTCTTTCATCCCCCTGAAAGGCTGGACCACAGACCCATCCCATCCCATCCCAAGGGGAATATGTCACATGGCAGGCAGGACTTTGGTCAGGGCTCTCTCCCCCTGCACTCAAAGCCATGCCTGGAAGACTTGCAAAGATAACATGGAGGCTTGGAGCCCTGACCTTGCACAGCAGCGTGTCAGCAGCTCTGCCCTCTGCCTGTTTTCCATGGAGAGGTGACCCAGGGGCTTGGTCTGGGCTTTATTTACCTTGTGGATCCAGGAGCTCTAAACAAGCAGCTCTTTGGTGTGTTTGCTTGCTCTGAGAAGGTCCTGCTACAATCAGTGGAGGCAAAACACACATCAAATGCTCCAAGAGTCCTGTGTAGGATGGTGACATCCCTGTGTGGAGCCCTCACACAGCCCTGGCTTCCAACCAGCTTCAGGTTCAAGCTGTCCCCCCTCTGAGCCACGGGGAGCTGGATTGCTGCTGCTGGAGCATTGCCATACCCAGAACTGAGGGCCCAGAGACATCCAGATCCACACTGCAGGAGGAGTGATTTTAACTGTCCCAGTTAAAATCAGCTGTCCAGGACTGTGAGAAGTGTCTGCCTGAAGTATTTATGATTAATCCATTAGAAGTTTTAAGCTACAGCCAAGTGTCAGGGACAGCTGACAAAGCATGTTCAAGGCACGTACGAAGTGCTGTTATGAAACACTTGCTGAAATATTGAAGGAAAAGGCTTTCCCAAGCTTGGGCCTGTGCACAGGGAGCTGGGTGCTCTCCCCACCACTCTCAGCTGGCTCGTGTTGGACGCTGCCCTCTGCACAAGGGGTCACAGTGTCCATGGGCATCACCCCTGTCCCTGTCAGCCAGCCCCTGGCACTGCTGCCATGGCTTGTCCTGGAAGGGCTGCCCAGAGCTGGGCAAAGGACAGGCACAGCTGCCCACTAACAGCTGGGGGCAGGACAGGGCAAGGGACAGCAGCCATGTCAAGGCCTTTCCAGGACTCACCCTGGGTTTGGGGTGAGCCTTTCTGTTAGAAACAGTGAAACAGCACTCACGTGTCCTCTTCTTCTTTCTTCTGCTAAAAGCTGGAAGCCATTTAAACCAGCAGCACATTGTGGTAAAAGCACCTTTCTTTAGAAACCCTCTGAAAAAAAGCTGTGGTTTTCCCCCATGGCAGGCAGCTGTGGTACTTCAACAAACCCTTCCAAGTTCAATGAATGCCCCAAAGACAACACCTGAAATACACATTTGAGAGGCTACTCCCTTCCACTGCAGAGCTCCTCTCTAAGGACAGCAAGTCTCAAGGGCAGCTCTGCCACTCTGAGTGTGCACACCATCAACACTGGAGCTTTCACACTTGGAGAGCATCTGGGCAATGCTCTGAAGAGAGATAGCCAGCCCTCCTCACAGTTTGTGAAGCTTTCTTTGAAGCCACATCAATGCTTCAGGAGTTGCAGCTTTGTTGCTGTCACCACACAAATTGCCAGAGAGATTTTAACCACAGACATACAGCATTAAACAGCTTTTCTGCTCTGGGCGTGGGGCTTGCAGAGGACAGGAGAAGAGCAGGACAGCCAAAGGGAAGTCAGCTGTCCAGTTTGACAGCTCAAAGACAGGCTGGATGAACTGCTCCCAGCCCAGCCTCTCACCTACCTGGAGACACCCTACACCAATCTGCTCATTTTGGGCACCTGACCATTGGCTTCTGGGCACTAACAGAGTGACACAAGTACCTGAGGACATCAAGAGCACGTGGTAGGAGCTTCACCCACTCTGCCTAGCCCACGCAGTAGTGCTGTACAAACACAATGTCACCCCCCTCAAACACCATATCCAAACCCAATCCAAAATCTCCCAATGAAGGGAATTGTGGCTTTTGTGAGACTCCTCAGTGTCTGAGTGCCTCCAACCTAAAGCCACCCAGTTTTTCTATGGTAAGCCTTACTGAGGACCTCATTAGCTGCTTTGTGCCTCTCTTTTGGCCAAGGCTGGGCACTCCAACCACCTCCTAAAGCACAGAAACCTGATGGTCCCAAAAAGAAGAGAAACAAGGGTGATTTCTCTTGGAGGCACTAGACAGCACTTGATTCTAGGCTCCATTTTTGATGGATTCCTTGTTTTTCCTAAAACAGGATGGGAGAAGGTATAAACCGAGAGACCCTCCCACCTCTTAATCAGCCTTAAAGAGTGTAAAGCACAGTGAATCATGCCTACCCTGAAAATGGTATCACTCCCTGTAATCACACAGCAGTGGCCTGCACAAACTAGTTCAAATAACTCCCACTTTGTTTTTAAAACAAACACTACAATACCTTCTTATTTCATGTACAGTCTACTTTATCTTGAGCATATACATTTTGTTTCTTCTCACACCTAATTAATACGTTAATCATTAGCTCCATGAAGGAAAGGAATGAGCTGTACTTTTCACCCAGTTTGGCATAAACTAAAATAGTGATCTTAAGACTGCAATGCCCCTGACTGCAGTGCTTTACAGGGTCTACAAGGATTGCAGTACAAGGGTTTTGATGCCAGAATGAGTCCATCCTCTGCCAGGATCCAGACACAGACACCACTGCCAAGGTACCACCTCACCTCCACGGGGGTTGTGATGGTGCCTGAGAGCCCCTGAGCTCCACAGGCTCTCCCAGGAGTGCCGGTGCAATCACAGGGCCAGGCCTGGGTATCCCAGCTATGACAGGAATGACATCCAGGCACAGAGGCAGCACAGGGCAGGCTCGGTGCCTGGGCAGCCCCAGGTGGAGGGCACAGCCCAGCACCCACCACCCTCTGGGAGGGCTCAAATCCCAGGGCCCTGGCGTTCACTCTCCTTTGGCCCAGCTGGGTGCCACCACAGACCCCTCACCTGCACAACTGGCTATGAGACAAGGCCTGGGGCACGTGAGGGGAAGCACAGTGGGTAATGTACCAATCACTGCTTCTGCAGCCCCAAAATCCTTCCTGTGGCATCAGAATGGCTGCTTGCAATGGAAACAGCTGGTCAGAGCAGGAGTGTTACTTAATTCTAGAGTCTCATCTGGGAGGGAGTGCACAGCAGAGAAGGGACTCATAAGCCTCTTCCCACTTGTCATTTAAGTGGGTTTTATCACAATCCATTTCTGCACCAAGAGCTTTGTTTTCTTTTCTTCAGCAAGCAAGAAATCTTGCTCACCACCACTTAGAATGATTTTGTGCTGTCTGCAGCAGATTGCTAAGCCAGGTCAGCCTGTGCATGTGCTTTTACCTTCAAACCATTCTCACCCAGGTCCTTGGAAAGCTTTTGTGTTCAGGATGGACGCCAGAGAAGGGAAAGTCAGCACAAGTATATCCAAGGGATGCAGAAGTGGCAGCAACAGGAAATGAAATGTCCCTGAGCCCCTCTTGGAGGTGCACACTCTGGTCTGCAGACCCAGAGCTGCAGGAGGAAGGGCCACCCAGCCATGACCTCCCAGACATCCACTTCTGAAATAAACCCCTCACAGGCAGCAAGTGCAGAAGAAGAGATTGCAAGATTGGGGAACAGGGACTAAACTTTCATATGGGCTGCCACCAAGGCTGTTCTCTGCATGAGGCCTCCAGGGCACAGCCTGGACACAGATGAGATCTAACTCCATTGGCAAGGAAGGCATTTAATTGTTCTTTCTCCTCTCTGAGGGTATTTGCTCATGCCTAACAGCTTCAGGCCTGTTATTTTCCAGCCC